AATAGTAGGTATTTATTTCGTATATTGAGTTAGAGGCAATCCCTCCAGTTCCTCTGACTAAGTCGATGTTTACACGCAAGTACTCGTATTTGTATTATTAAATACAAGCTTTTAGCCGCGTGTACGCCGGTTATCGCGGTAAAAAGTAGTCTATGTTTCTTGCTGATCATGTAGCTTTCCATTAATCTTTTAAAAGAACTTTAAAAATCGGCTTAGTGGTTTAGGCGTGAACGCGTAACAAACAAACTCACTTTCACAATTATAATATAAAGTATGGAAGTATGGATGTTTAGGTACAAGTTGACCATCGACTGTTGCATGTATCTTTCAAATATAGAACAAAATAAAGTTTTCATGCAGACAGTGAGATACTAAATCACTTTTTAAATATATTTCTTGTCACACAACAAGGAGGATGAGGAAAACTATACAATTTTTTTGGATAAAAAGATCGAGCAGAGTAATACCGGTCTACAGGCTGGCAGAAAATCGGTGTTAAACAATTATTTCGCTGCTTTTCACCGAGTGAGTGAGAGGTCACCGGAGGCCAACCTCGCTAACTCAGGGGGGCTAAAGGCAAGCTCTAAAAGGGCACCAATGCCTCTGTGTTCCTAGAGTTGCAGGTATACACAAATAGCGGTAATCATATATCACCAGGTGACCAGTTGCTCTTATACACTCTGTACCATAAAAATTATTTTAATCCGAAACATTTATCGGAATTTGATATTAGAAACTGTTTTAATTATCCCGTATAATTTCCAGCCCTGCTGTGACGCGTGTAGGAAAACACCATTCATTATTCACAATTGTTAAACGTTGCATAATGCCGTCCAACGCTGCGGAGGGTGAAAATTGTAGATTTCCACATCGCCCCGGTTTATGTTCAAATTATTAAGGGTTATAACTCTACGTCACTAAGTGAAATAAACTGTGTATTTAAATATTGGGCTTGTTGACAGTTATAGAAAATATTGGTGTGGTAACACGAGACCGTACTTACATTATGGTTTTTGCAAACTCATATATTGTGCACAATAATAATAATAACCACACACCACACAGCGCTGTCTGCTGCCTAACTAGGTGGAGCTTATACCATGGTAACCAGACTGCTGATAAACATACTTATATATCATCATCGGCCTATTGCCGTCCACTGCTGAACGAGGCCTCCCCCAATGAGCGCCAACCATCCTTGTCTGTGGCAATTCGCATCCATCCTCTGCCAGCCGTTTTTCTCAAGTCGTCGGTCAATTGTGAGCCAGGGCGCCCTACACTACGTTTGCCTAATTGCCTAATACTTATGTATATAGATGTCTCATACCCAGATACAGAACAAATTATCGTGCGGATCACACATTTATTTGTCCTGGGTGGCCATCGAACCCACTACCTTCGGCTTCGGCCCGTCGAAACTTTTTAATTGTAAAATGAACTCAATTCAAGTCAGTTAACCAGTTATTATTGTTTTATTGTGAATCGAAACAGGAAAGACTGGATCATTGACAGTAGAGCAATGATCATAGGGTAAATGCCAGTTTTGTCAGCGAACATCACGCACAATTAATGGTAACCGAAGTAACAGAGAGTGATCGATCATCAAACCATCGATATATAGAATCGAAATTTCAATTAATCAATTAGTAGTGGTGTTTTAGTATAAGTCGGTCCCCGACCTATAGTTGATTTAAGAAGTACCTAGTATAATTCATCGAATATCAATCGATTGGTATTGTGACATGCTTACACTTGATTATAATTAGTACTACTAGTCTTAAGCTAGTGGTGTTAATAGTACAATTTGTAAACTATTAAATATTTTATTCAAAAATAATAAACACATAGTTCTAATATTTAAAAAAAACTGCAAGTAATAAAAGTATGGTTTGATTGCAGGTACTTTTCTACAATAGTAGTTAATGTCAATCTCTCACATGAATAGGGGTTATAGTATCATTAGAATTATTATAATAACGACTTTGTACCTACATAGTAATATTTGTTAGAGTAATTATAATATTCTTAATATTTTCGGTAATTGTCTGAGTAAAGTATGAGACATAATGCAGCGTACATATTTTCTTTTTTGACCTTGTCAACGTTGTAAAAACATAGCTAACATTTTTCATTAAAAATAAGCAAGCATAAGAGAACGGTGTGGGAGGGCTAAACGAGCCGATATTATGAGCAAATGCTCAAAACTAATAGAAATATGTGTCAACGTACTCATCGGTCTACTTTAACTGGGATCTACTATCTACTAAAATATTTTTATACTACTTATAAGATTTGTGTTGTTCACATATTAGAACTGCGAGACTAGCAATGTACCAACGACGACATTCTTTTAGTAATAACATGCCATGGAAGATAATTAAAAAAACCATCAAACCCGTCAAGTATCAAAAATAACTACACAAACTATAAACAAAAACAAACATCGGAGCATACGAGGCCCTTGTGTAAAATTTCGTCGCAAGTGGACATGTCATGTTTTGTTTACTTTGAACTAATTTAATAATTTTTACCAGCTCGAAATATGACATATTAAATTTTGTTTCTACCAGTTTTAACATGATTAAATTTCTTTCTTAAAGGGTTCTTAAAGCAAAAAATAGTTTTTTTTTGTTCAACATATTATGAGTCTTTCTTATTCATCATGCCGTGATGTTAGGATTATAACAACTAAAACAATCCTCTTTCTACAATATAATAAATTTGCTTAAAATATTTTTAGTGTACTTCTTGGTGTAATCCTGAGCAAACGCGACAAGGCGATTAAATAACCAACCAATGCCGGGATTTGGTTAAAAATTTTAACGACCCTGTCCACATACAGAGGAACATCTCCTATCACTCTATTTCACTTCTTACGTCGAATTTTTGATATCCTTAACGGATAATGTATAGCCTTATTAAGAAATAGACGAATTCGTGGTTAGCTTGATATTAATGACAACCGATCGTTTGCATAGCCTATTCCATTTCTCAAAAATAATTAAAAGGTGATCATGATTTTCAAGAAGTGTGGCCGAAGTTCGCTACTTTTGTATCTCCGGAATAGTCTATGAATATAATCTAGTAAGATTTTGATCTCTTTTTTATATTACAATGGCCATAATGCGTTCTAAATATTGACAAAAATCAACGAATCTATTTAGAAATCATCATGGTCACTCAACTGTATCCATAAAATATTTTATTACGTCACTACATTGCAATACTAAAAGCTTACGAACGTCACAAAAGAATGACGTCATAATATATTACTACATCAGTTCTAATGTCGCCAGTGGGTAGTAATTTGTAAGTGAGTGCTACATATTTATACCAGTAGCGTTTTTCCACGGCGCTTCTGGGACTTAGAACATTGGGCGTGTTTACGTAATATTAATGACGAGATTCTAGTAATAGGCGTGTTCAACAGACAATAAATTAGTCCCTTGAGAGTATAAAATACGATGGCTTTAACTTCATTATAGAAATTTAACATTTTAAGTATTTCACTTGGTATAGAGAATCATAGCCTTCTTTATAGAGAAAGAAGGATTTGTTCAGTACCGACAGCGTACCTCAATTTACAGTTTGACAACCTTTGCTACTTATTTCATCTTTTTTTTTTTTATAATTTGAAAAAAAGAATAGTTAGACAAGTATTAGGTAATTGTACGATTACTTCGTATGGAGATATTTAAAGATAGCTTTGCGACTCTCATAAATTAAACGGTTTTATCCACAAGGTTCATGAGTATTACACGTTTAATGAATAGGTACCGGATCTTACAATCTACCTTAAAGATGGACTGAATAAATAGATGGATCTTGGAAGAAAGACGTAAGACAACTTTTCCATGGTTTAAATCTATATTTCGTATTTCTTTAAAGTTGGCAATTTCATGTTAGACTCAAACCATTCCATCGTATATTGTAATATGATCGCTATATTATGATATGGTCTGGCCTAATCAGTAAACAGTGTTTGACGATAAACAGCAAAACGCATAAATATTTCATGAAGTGGTCAAATATTATTGACTGTATCGTAAAAAGCTACATTTTTATTACATATAGCTGTACCCTGCTACTCTTGACTGTGGCACATTGTGATTGCTTCAATGAGAAATAAAACTGCCGCGAACATAGATACAAGCAATGTTTGAAGCGGTTTGTATATCGTGGAAAAATTTAAGCTCGATTGGTGAACTTTTTGAGTTGTTAAAGCGTACAAAAACCAACTTAACATTTATATATATACAGGGTGTAAGGGACGTCGTAACGAATACTGAAATAGTGTATTCAGACCATCATTCTGAGTCGAAAATCGTTGAAATTTTCTGACAGAAAATTAAACGTTTTATGTAATCTGCTGTCAATTGTGGAAGTCATTCCCTGTAGATATCACACAAAAGTAATAACTAAGTATATTTGTAAAAACAGCCTATGCACACTAACACAAAACAGCGGCCAGGGAGGAAGCACCGCGCGCTTCGGCTGTTTGATTAATTACATTGCAGTTTTTGATCGTATTCGGTATTTATTGAATTATTTTGGGTAAAATGTTTGATGAACAATGAGTGTTTACTCATTGTGAAATATTTTTTCATCAAACGTTTTTTCATCATTTAAAGCCAAAAACATGGAATTTAAAAAATATTGATGAATTTTCCGGCAGAAAATTCCAATGATTTTCGACTCAGAATGATGGTCTGAATATACTGTTTCAGTATTCGTTACGACGTTCCTTACACCCTGTATATACTAATAAATTTAGTGTTTTTATTATTAGTCTTCTTTGTATTGATAATCTTTTTCTCTGTTATTTTAATGTAAGAGTAGAACTTTTTTTTGCCCTGACACAAAATTACGAAAAAAAGCTTCTTGAAAAGTTTTTTTTATTTTAGTCCAATCGCATTCTAACTCTATTTCGGGACTTTAATATACTATATATGGGACCAAAAGTCGGAGTTAATTTCAAGAAGTCACGTTCAGTGTTCAAGATGGCAATCTCTCAAATGCTAAATAAAAGCTTAATAAGTTATATCCCAAGTAAATACGACAAGCCACAAGAAAGAAGCTCGGTAATTTTAAATAACAAGCAAGCTCAAGTCACTCAACGAACTACGTTGAGAGTTTTTCTCTGGCTTGTTCTCTTCTGCGGTACGCAAACAAATGAAGATAGCCAACAGATAGCCAATGTCCCGATGGAACAGCAAACTGCAGTGGAAGTGGGCAGCCTACATGACATGCAAAATGGAATTGAATGGATAGCTGATAAGCCTGATAAGGTTTAAAAGAACCGAAAGTGAAATGGAAAAAGATTCATCTTGTTTGGAAGTCATTAAGGGCGCAGTATATGTATTATTAATAATACCAATATACTAATAAATCACTCAATAACTTTGGTGACATCGAAAGACTAATATAGTTACTACACAATTCTATAATAAATATATTGTCATGAAGAACGCAATGATCATATTAGACATCAATACGGAGAAGCCAATGACAACTAACAAAGGAGGACATGGTGATCACTAGATCTTGGTGAAAAACTTTAATTTTTCCATTGGTGGTTGCCACCGATGAAACTCTTTGGACCAACCAAAAAAATATATTAGACTTTAGTTTTTTAGTAGCCTGAAAAAACACAAGTTCTTCAAAACCAGTATTACGCATTGCTAGTAGGGCCACGAAATAAACGTACAGAAATATAGACTAATTTATTTTTGATAGTAGGTATTCACAAGTTGATGGAAATACAGACAAGGACATACACATAACCAAAAACAAAAATTCTTTCTCGAGGAATGGAAATACGCAAGAAAAGTTGCGGATAAAAGCTAGTGATATAAATATATATATATATTAATCTGTTTCTCTATATTTTTATAATTTAGAAACATCATTGAAACCTACAGCCAACTTAAGCAGTTTATGATTTAATAGCCATTTCTAAATAACGAAATTCACAGTTACCAAACATTTTATGATCTACTACTTAATCGAATCGAACCCATGATCTCTGGCTAGCAATCAGTGCTTTGATACTCCTAGATCGTGATAAATTGTAATAAACTATATTCGTCATTTCTTAAATTTTCATCCTTAGGAGTAGAACTTTTCTTCTTCTTCAAATCCGACAAAAAAAAAATACTAATCCGTTTTTTTTAATTTGTGGGCGTCGTACACTACGTTTGCATAGACGCGGTCTCCACTCAATAACACGTTTACCCCAACGTTACTGTAATAAACGTTTTTAATCGTTTTTCTTCTAAGTCCGCTTCCTTAGCGACTCCAGCCGAAAAATAATAACGCTGGAGGCTCCCATTTTAATGGTGTTTGTTTTCAATAAGGGTCCTCATATTTACCTTAGCTGGGAAACTGCAGCGGTTTCGTTTAGTGTTGTACAATGACGTTCTTAAACTAGGAAATGTTAAATTCCTGAAAAATTGTCTCATTTTTACTATAAATTTTAATACAGCTACTACAGCTACGTTTCACGGTCTTTAGTGTGTGGTCCGTGTGGTGACGGATTAAGAAATCAAATTTTCACCACCCCAATTCATCCCGTGGGTGTCGTAAGAGCCGACTAAGGGAGCAAACTAAGCAGGACAACAGCACTGCAAAGAGAAGGAAAACTTGAAACAAACCCTATACCAACCCGTCTGGCCAGCGTGGTATAGTAGGCCAAAACCTCCTTTCTAAGGAGAGGCCTATGTCCAGCAGTGGACTAGTACAGGCTGTTGATGTGATGTGATGTGATGAGTTAGATCTATCCATATCTTACGCTATTCTAGAGCTTATGACAATTTATGAACAGCGGTACATCGATGACCAAAATTAATATTCTTATTTTCTGTTTCACTTTTTCTGTCGTTGCATAGTTAAAGTATAGTAAAAACTGTAGACGAGTTGTTTACAGTTTTAACTATACTATGGCCACTATATAGTTGAATCTTACACACGCTTTGAACTAAGTTGAAGGAAATGGAGGATATTTAAATTATGGCCCACTATTCTATATTAAAACAAATTTACAAAGAATGCACGCGACATTAATAAACAAATATTTCTTTCAAACTACTTGTGTTTGTAATTATTAATTGGGTTGGACTTGTATTCAATTCTTGTTGAGCTTTAGAACCCCACTAGTGTACTACCCACGTGAACCTAAGCATGTAGCTTAGCTGGAAGCGCTGTCATTCCTGCGAACAGTGTGTGACCCAGGTTACTAAAACTTTAAATACACAAAAAAATAATTAAACCGGTACTCTAACTTACACGCCGTCATATTTGTGATTGGAGGTTTGGGTTAAATATGAAGAGCCACACTAAACAGAGACATATGATATACCCTGGCGAGTAATATTTTTAATAATATTTGTTTCTTTCATTTTAATAATATCCTAAAAGCAAAGATTGTGTAATTCGTTTATTCTAAAACAAAGAAATATGAAATAATAGGTAAAACAAATTTTACGTTAAGTATCAAATTATCACAAATGGCCGCCGGTCTCCAAATATTCTTTCTTTTTCTCGCGATTTTTTATATTTATATCAACAGAAGTTACAATTTGAAAAGCTTATATTTTCCTCTAGATGAACTCGAAAAATCAAAAAGTGTAGAATGTCGATTTACGAGAAAATAACACCAAACAGAATTTAAACATAATTAATTTCGGTACGAATTTCGAAAACAAGTCTGAACAAATCTAATCTTGAAGCGGTTGAACTCAAACTGAACAACTTCACTCATATAAGAAGATCAATTAATCAAGTCGGAAATCACGGCGGGCCGCCAAGTGAAATAAACATATTGCCAACTCAGAATTATTAGCCGTTGCCGAATTTAAATCGAAATTGCCGAAGGGCGTAGTTATAGGGCCCGAAGGATTTGAGAATTTGCTACCCCCGCTTCAATGTTTATAGCGTTTAGCTTCCCACCTGTTTTAGTTTCAAGTTTAATTGTGACTAATGTGAGTTTGATGTTTTAGCTATGTAAATATTATGGTCCGATTGGTTGGGTTTCAGCTCGCGCTGGTGTTGTTATGAGCATTCAAGTTAGTAAGTAGGTATGACCAAATCCAAACTTGTTCTACATTGGAGTCCATTCTTCATCGTACGAGTACAATTTTATAACTATCTGCTTTATGTTGCAAATGTTTCTTGACAAAATACTAATGCAATGTATGTATGATAGTACAAATACGGAATAGAATATAGTGAAATATATTTGTACATCATTAAAATAATCCTTACAAAATAAAAAATATTACTGGCAAGCGATTTCTTACAAGCTGCATAAAGATGAACAAATCTGACAAAAGACGAGTTCTGAAAAACACAATTGTATACAACAAACTTAACAAACAAACATACGAGTACAACACGTGCTGTTATTTTTATGGTATGGAAGGGCAAATGAGCAGACGGGTCACCTGATGGTAAATGGCTACCACTGCCATGGGCACCTGCAACTTTAATAGTTGCCCAAATTGTCCCTTTTAGTAAGAACCAGGTGGAGTCGCAGAGTATGGGCTCCGGTGTCCTCACTCAGTCGGTGAAAAGTAATGAAAGAACTGATTAGCACCGGTTTTCTGTGTGGCTGTAGTATTAGTTCGGTCAAGCCTGGCCCATGTACCAAGGCCTCCTACGACGCCGCTATAAAGCCTCTACTTATGATGAATCTAGTCTCCAATAGATTACTGTTCGAAGATAATAATTATTATTAATTATCAGATTTATTTCTCACCGAGTGTTATGAAATTATCTGAAAATTAGATAAATTGTTTAATCTTAGTCATTGAAAGAAAATGCTGCTATGCTTTTTATAGCCGACGAAAAAAGGAGGAGGTTCTATGCCACTGTATGTGTTTTTTAAATTGCTCTGTTTAGATATACGCCTAGACTTACCTAGAAACGTGTAGAAGTGTGTGTACTTTTTAATACATCACAGCTCACAGAACACCTATTAGGTAATATTCACAATTAGGTAATATTCACAATCTTCATTCTAAAATACCAAAAATAAACTATAGACTCCACCATAAAGGATATATTCAAATCAAAATTTTACATAAAATCTGCTATGCAGTACTTCAACGTGCATCTTCGTTGAATTTCCATAGCAAAAGCTTTAAAACTTGCAACGATAATCTAGTTTAAACTGTGGATGTGGCAAACGAAATTATCTTCGGCATGTATCATGTGAGCGTACCGCAAGATTTTAAAAGAGTAACTTAGTTACAAAATCCCAAACTAAAGATGGAAATGCTGTAGAAATAATTGGTTGCGACTTTTTGTGATTTGAACTCAGTTTCTCGTACGCAAAATAGTCACTAAAATAATAAGTTTGCCTCAGTTTGTAAAGAAATAAGAGTTTACTCCAAATGAACGACATCACAAGTTACCGTAACTTGCCGTAAGTTTTTGGACCGCTCTGTGCTGTGCCAAATATTACTTTCTTCTAAAACATCATATGGTTTTAGTCAATTTTAACTCCTTCCTTAACTTCCTTTCCTATGGTCATGTCGTCATAATAGAATACAAAATTCTTGTTTCATCTTACATCCATGTACCTCACTATCCTTATAAAAAGACACTTTAACTGCTCTGAAGAGGGTGTGATTGCAGCTTTATTGCAATTTCAAAGCATACCTGACGCTCCCGGAGATAAGACCTTTTGAAAGGTTTTACAGAATTCAATTCGTGATCTCCTTTCTCTGAGAATACGGCTTTTTCGAGTAAAATTTCTTAGAGATATTTTTTTTACAAGAATAATGTAGAGGGTACAATTTTGAATAAAAGAATGTTAAATTCGAAATTATTTTTACAAGACCAGTTACACTTACAGATATTATTCCTAATCTAAATGCAAATGCGAATATGAGTTTACCTCCAGTAACCTCGCAACCAGCATCACAAAGCTTGGCGTAAAGACTGTGTTCTACTTACAAGCAACTCAATAAACCAATCAAATACACATATTTGATTGGTTTATTGAGTTGCTCAGTAACCACCACCACAGTTCTCTTATCGCTATATAAATATGTGAATATTCATCAAGTCACTGTATAAGAGCAGAAGAATAAATAAACACAAACAGTGAACGTAGGATTAAAAAACACCAGGTGTAGCGGACTTATTTATATTCTTATTAAATGTGTTAATATTCTTATGATGTACTTATTTAATGTGTAAACATTTTTGTTCATTGTAACTATGTTAGTTTATTCTCGTAAATACTTTTTATTAATTTAATTATTTCATTTTGTTAATGTCGTTATTACAT